CCCCATTTTATATAAAATATTATTTAGAAAGATTTGGTTTTTATTTTTGGGGCTTACCGATAATACAATTCTGTTTTATGGTTGTGGGCCGATGTTGGTTTAAAAATTTTGGGATCCCATATTTAATTAAATGATAGATAGTTGATAAATTTATATTTTATTAAAAAATGAGGGTTTTACAAGTTATGATATATTGAAAGCCACTTAGTACAAAGTCTTGTTATAGGATTCAGAAGTTAGAACCGATGTGTTGGCCCTGTGCGTTTCCCTTTACTCAATAGGCCCTGACAATATGGGTTGAGTCATTTTGAACTCAAAAACTTTAATTTATCTCCAAGACACCAACATAGATTGAGTTTAGCAAAAAAAAAAAAAAAAAACTAATCTCTCATAATATGGTGAATGAAGGAGAATATTCAATCATGACTCGAATAAGAATTTTTCTAATTAAAAGATACCTGTAAGCAAATAAAAACCAAAAAAAAAAAAAGTTAGGCAAACCCTATGTGTTTGTTTAAGCTTCATATTTCACAGTTTCAAGAGTATATATCAATTGTGTTGGGAAAATGTAGTAACGAAAATAAGAAAAAGACTTTAATACATGATAAAACACTTCTGATAAAGAATTATTACCTGTGTGCTCGAGATTATATATTGTGTTGTTTTAAATTGCAGCAAAGCCTCTTGACATATATATTAAAATGTTAGTTAAATTCATAACATCACCATGATCATGGAAGATGGGTATTTATAAATAGAGGAAGATTCCTTAGGAAATTGTCCACCTTCGGATCCAGTTTCGCCTTTCGGCACACCAATTTGGATGGTCTGATGAGATTTTGTTTTTATACTTTTAATAAATACATAATTTAAAATAAAAATAGTGTTATAATTTTCACTCTAGAAAAAATAATTTTTTATATAAAAAATTACAAGGTAAAAAATTCTAATTTGAACAATTAAAATTAGTTTTGAATGACCCAGATTTCATCATAGCAGTATATCCAAACCAAATCCAACTATTCTATACACCTATATGTTGAGAGAAAAAAATTATATCACATAGTTTAAAAAAATTAGTTAATTATAAAATAAAAATATTGAACCAAAATATTCTATGTTAATCAATATAAATATGCATTAATTATTTTTTATTAATATAAATTATGAGGCTGATTTAAAAAATATTTAATAAATTTTATTGAAATGACTGATTTTATTTATAAAAAAATATAAGTAAAAAGTGATAATTTTTATGACAATAAAAAACAAAAAGAGTAGGAAAGACAATTTTCTTTTTCCCCCAAAACATAAGATCATTTCTTAACATATGCCTAACTAATCACATCCATTATGGTGGAAGCATGGAATTTTCCTCCAATTTGCCACGTGGAACTAGCTAAAGTGATAATAAATGTAATAGAGTGGGAGGTGAGCATAAAAGTTAAAGCTTAAAATTTTGCTAATGTAATAAAAAGACAAAAAAGTCCCTCAAATTTGGGTGCTAGTTTGAGGAACCTAGTATGATAGTACCTGCATTGACCAGTTCAAGTTTATCAAAGTTAATGAGTGCGATAAAGCATTACTTGTTGGTGCAATTCAATTCATTTGCACTTATTTTTTATATATTTATCTCGCCAATGTAAACAGTCTAAATTTAATTTAATTTAATATTAAAAATGTATTATAATTTTTAAAATTAATTATCTAGATATATTTTAGATAGTGAAGATTTAAAAAAATTTTATATTTTTTTTATAAATTTTTATTTTCATAATATAAAATAAAAATAAAACAATTTTAAACCTTACCTATGCAAATTTAATTTGGGCCACTCATTTCATGTCCTAATTTCAGTGGAAGGGCAGAGGAGGGAGGACCTAGCCAGTCAGCATAGTCGAGAGAGAAGCTAAGTCCCTTTGTCAGTGCCTTCGGCGGTTGCTTCTTTTGGGCATACTTCATTGGATCTTCAAAGTCTTAGGCCTAATTAGAGTTTATTTGGCCCTAGACTTGAAATTCCACATAAAGCAATATTTTGCGAGGATACATAGACTTTTTCCCCAAAATTTCATCAACATATATCAACATTTAAAGCCATAAATTGAATATTTTAAGGAGTATATATAGATTGAATGTATTGATAATCATATTATTAATTAAAAATAAAATATTAAAATTATTCGATTAATGATAAAATCTTGATGAGTGATTTTCGGAGTTTGCATAAAAATAATATTATTAGTTGATAAGTAATGTCAATCTAGACCTCTTCTATAACGCCACCTAGTTCCCATAAGGCCCTTTCACATTTAAAATTAGTGGCAATCAAACCACAATCTTCAAGACAACTTAGAGTGTTTAATCTCCTTTTCTCAATTGATAAAACATATAATTATTTAAATAAATGTATATGATATTAATTTGTTAATCTAGGGTATTATAAGAAATAAATGTTTTTCAGATATTTTACATCTACCTCTCTTAAGTTAAAAATGCTATTCCTATAACAAAATTACTCAAGAGGCAGTCAAAGCACTCTAATATGTTTACATGGGTTCAAGAGTGTGTGTGTGTGTGTGTGTGTATATGTATATATATATTCCTATCTTGATGTTAAATTAGAATAAATTTCAATCTCATGTTACTTAATCCTATGTCCAATAAGAGTCCCTTTTCCAATTCAAAACCTAATCCCTAATTTCATAATTAACAGTGGCCAAGATTACATAGACAAGTAAAAAAGATTGAGTAAATAAAAAAACTAATTAGTTCAAACATGCCGTAATTCATAAATTATATTAGTTCATATATAGCTACTCAAGGTCAAGAAAAAATTACTCACATATGGCTCTAATAACAACAAACTAAAGAAATAGATACATTGAAATAAAGAGATAGCTAGTGGAGTATGTAAAAAAAAAAAACTTAATCAAAGCAATCTTAAGCCAAACTCTTAAATTTTAATTAATCTCCCAAGCTTCTTCAACTTTTCTTTGACATCATTTTCCCTCTAGCGATGACTTCTTGTTGTAGAAATTGGTAGATGTCCAAACTAAATATTTTCAAACCCTTAAATTGGTTTGGATTTCAAAACTTTGTGTTATGCCAAAAATTTACACTACAGTGAATCTTTCTTTGCTAGAGAGAAGGCATCTATACATTATTTCTTACCAAATCCATTCTTTTGGACTTGGTCAGGCCTTGAACATGAACTTGGCCCAAAATCCAACTCAAAATTGATCACTATCAATTAGTAATTTCCTCAATTTCTTTTAAAAATGAACCCAATTTATTGTAAATAGCACCAAGATGACTGCCTTTTAAATGTAATTATTAGTGAATAAAATTTATGAAACATTGGGAGTGATTAGTTGTTTAGTTTACAAATGAAAGAATACCGAAATTAAATAAGGACAGGCTAAAAGATTAGAGAAAGACTAACCAAGTAAAGGTAATTAAATAAGAAATTAATGACAATTAGGTTCTTGACAAAATCTTTTAAAGAATGAATTACAAATATTGATTCTGCAAACAAGAATTGCAATTACAAACTAAGAGTTATTTAAAAATTAGATCTTTTATTTGCAATTGGAGCTCCTAAATTTAAAATTGTCTAAATCAATATTTACAGTTTATTTTTCAAAAATTTTATTGAGGACCTAATGGTTCTTAATTCTCTATTTTGGAATTTTATTATCATTCTCTCTATTTTGTTTTCTGGCACCATGCATTGAATATAGATGATAACTTTTTGACAAAATTATACTTTTAGTCCTCTAATTTTATATAAAATTTTAATTTAGTTTCTTAATTTTATAAAGTATTTTTTCAGTTTTTTAATCCTAATGATATTAGTTTTAAATGATTATTTTTTATTTCAATCATTATCATTTTCAAAAAAATTAAACTTAATATGTCAATATTTGAAAATATTTTATTAACAATCTTAAGTTTAATTTAAAATTTTGTTGTAACGAAATTAACAGTGTTAGGGTTAAAGGATTGAAAAGATACTTTATGAATTTAAATGATAAAAATAAAACTTTATATAAAGTTTAAGAGAGAAAGGTGTATTTTACTTAAAATTTAATATTTAGGCCATTTTGAGGATAAAAATATTTTGAAATGGTAAAAAAGACTTAAAGCTTGTTTGGATAACCATAAAAATTAAAACACCTTCAAATTACATTTGAGATATACTTTTACTAAATTTAATAGATAGTTGGATTTTCAAATGGACTTTTGTAAAATGTAGCCTGAAAACAAACACACAATTAATTTGGCTTTACAACCATTATTGTAGTCCCACTAACAAAACAGTAACGAAAGTAACAAATCAAAACAGCTGTCACCCTTCATCAGAGGCTCCTACATGCGCACAGCAGATAGAGGCAAACCGAAGCGAGGAAGATGGAAAGCAACAAAACGAGAGAGTAGGGAATAATATTTACGGACTGGATTGATTTGGTTGGCTTCATCATCTTGAGACTCTCGATCACTTTCAACATCTTCTTCAACAAAAATGTCATTGCTACCATAAAATGAAATAAGAATAATCCATATAAAGAAATCTCCAAGTTGACGAACAATGGGAAGACGACATCCAAAAGGAAACCTTCCTAAGATGCGAACAAATATGATGAAGAAAATGGAGATGAATCCAATGACACTAATGACATCTGCAAGCAAAGTGTTATTGCTGATAACCAAACGTATAGCAGCTAGGAATGCCACAGGCATGGTTGTAAGAGCAACATAAACAAAAATCTTAGCGAGTCCGTACGCTCTTTCTGCAAAACGAAGATCACCCAGCGGGACCTTGAGAAGAATAGCAGAACCAATGGTGGCGCTGTACATAGCTATTGTGTTGAAAGCCGTGAATATCTTGAATAGTGTTTGGTGAGTCAAAAGTGCCAAGCCTCTCTGTTTTGTGATTGGGTCATCAGAAGAGTAAAACCCACCTGGTACCGTGAAAGCAGCTGCAAATGTCACTGTAGCTATCATATGGCCACAAGTATGAGTGTTTCAGCTGCGTCTTTCACTTTCCAATCTTCATTGGCTGATACTTCCCGGGGCACACCTAGCATATTTGCCTTGAGCAGCACCCCAGCTCTTCTTAAAATCACATCCGCTAAGAACTGCATTATAATTGAATCAAACAAGTACGCGTTGCATACTTTAGAGCTGTTTGGTGGCCAGAAAGGATGTGAATGAAATAAATTAAAAAATAAAATAAAATTAAATTATCCTCTCTTTCATGATAAATATAATAAAACCCAATACCAAATATTATTAATGTAGGAATCATCATATCTTTCACAAACTTTTATGCAAAAATCAAGACTCTCAACCTTATGAATTAAATTACGCTTCTCTCGTTATGAACATGATTGACATATCTCTCATTTACATATTGCTCATTTTATTTTTGTCTTTGGTTCTCCAATCCATTCCATTTCCTATCCTTTCAGCAAGAAAACGAACCTTATATTCTTCTATAAAATCAGAAGACACAGCTGATCATAGATACGCATTAATCATATATACCTCTTGACGTGTCATTGGAGTTTTACATCGTATCCAAACAACGTCTCGTGCTGTTAAACCTTCATTATTGACCAGATTCGCATTGATATGTTTGTCTTGTGAAAGAAGGAGCAGAGTCCAAAGACGTAGGTTTTTTGAAGCCAGGTGCAGCGGGGTATCTCCATACAAGTCTCTCTCATTGACAGTGTGAGGATGAATCTTAGGATTTTCCAGTAAGCATTTTATCACATTTGTGTGTCCCTTGATTGCTGCAACGTGAAGAATGTTTTGTCCTTCATTATTCAGGCAAAATCCAGCATCAGACCACGGAATTTCAAGCAGATTTTTTACCACTTGAACATGGCCCTTTTCGCAGGCGGGTGGATCGGAAGATTGCCGTCTAAGTTTTGCTGAAAAGCAAAAAAGGGAGAAGAATATTTTGACATGATATGAACACCTCCCAAGAAACCAGCGTATGTTGCATAATGAAAGGGAGTGTTTTGTCTTTCATCTTTTTGATACATGAGCTCTTTTGGTCCTTCCCTCACTATGTATTTCAATAGTTCTTCACCCAAAAACAAACACATATTAGGTGCAAGAAAATCAAACTGATCAAAAGCATCAAGCATGTTATAATTTATGAGTAAATATAGATACATGTACTGACCAGTATTTCGTTCTAATATCGCGGCATGAAGCGGAGAGTCTCCGCTTGAAATGGCCTGGTGATCTGAAGGAATTGCAATTTTCTCTAGGAGACAAGCAAGAATCACCATATTCTTTGTCGTGACGGCCAAATACATTGGTGATTTGCATCCATAATTCTTGTTCCAAGTCCAATAGGCAGCCAAAACACTTCTCCTATGCGCATTTAAAAGCAGAACCACCCCATCTGAATGCTCGCTCAAAACAGCTTCGTGCAAAGCTGTCCTCTGATAATTATTTCTCAACATTAGAAATTCGGCTTTATCTATCAATTCGGCCTTCTTTGATATAACCAGGAGAATAGCATTGATCGCTTCAATATTCTTTGCTCGCGAAGCAACATGAAGTGGAGTATCACCTTTCTTATTTCCCTTACTCAGAAGATTGGGATAGTGAGAAGCAATCAGCTCCACAACTTCTTCTCTACCAAACTCAGCTGCAACATGAAGCAACGAATCACCAGTGGGAGTGACATTATTAAAAAGGGTGGCCAAATCAACTTTATTCACTGTACATTCTGACTTCAAGAGTGAAACAAAGCCATCTGCATCTTTTTCCCGATCACAAACAGCCTTGTACAATTTATAGAACACGGTTGAAAATTGTGGCATCACTAACATCATGCTTCCAGTTGACTGCTTCTTATCATCATGTGACCAGCTGAACTTCTTCTCCATCAGTTCACGCATCTCTTTGCCACATTGAGACCTCCAGTCTGAATGGTTCTCTTCCGTATGAATTTCTACATCATCCGGATTGCTCATTACAACTAGCGCTATAATCAATTATGCAAGGCGCAAAATGTTTGTGAGGTTAACTGTGGTTGGCCTTTGCATCATATATGAAGTCATTTATTTTAGGAAAAATTATGTGTAAATCCCATCGAGCAAATTATTTACAATGAGTCCCACAAAATAAAAAAACCACAGCAATGTCCCTTGAAATCTTGAGGTAAGTTGAAATTGGGGTACAAAGATAATAGTAAATACTGAAGCAACAGTTGTAAAAATAATAAAGTGATAGTTGTAAATTATTGATAAGATAGTTGTAAATAATTAGTGTTAAATTTTATTAGTAACGTATGATCGGTTTAACTATTAAATATGTGAAGTTGCAGTTATAAAATATTAAAATGATAGTTGTAAAGTATTGATGAAATAGTTGTAAATTATTTAATTAATATAATGTATTTTTAATAAAGGTATTATTGTCTTCGAATCTCAATTTCTAGTTACACTCAAGTCTCGGGGAATCTGGTTATTGTTTCTGAATTTTGCCGGACTTATCTATAAATAAGTGTGTTCCATAGAACCTATATGTAATTTTTCCTTTTTTTTATAACAATTCAGAAGACATTAGCATGTGATCGATCATGGCACTGCATTAAATGATATGAATATTTTAGCAGAATGCCTAGTTATAATGTGTCTTCTATGTTTGGTTATAATGCTACAAGCATCAGTGTATTTTGATTTGTTCTTCATTGTTTAAAACTAGACATGATTTATATTCACACACACACACACACACATATATTATAATGCATTGCATCTGATGAATAAGCATCACATTTAAATTGATAGTGTGGCTACCAGCTGTAGCCTCCCCATTAATTTATATGCATTGAACGACCCAAGTCAATGCAACTATAGTTCAGGCATGTGATTGTTACGCGTTACAATGGGAGGTCGAGAGATTAGAATATTGAATATTCAGTATGAATTTCTTAGTCATCATATGATACTGGAATCAAGTTGTTGATGGCACAAATAATTAAGTGGAAGCCAAAGATTTGTCTTCTCTCTTTAGTTATAATGCTACCGTCAAGGAGAATAACCTGCGTGTTACAAGCTTAGTTAGAACCTTTGATGAGTTCAAGTGTCATTGATTGTGGCGAGAATCTTGAAAGCGATTTTATAAATGATGGGAGCAACATTTATTCTAGTCCTTTTATCCACTATTTTAAGTCCCTTTTTTATTTATATTTTTCAAAGAAGTTGTGCGGTTCAAAACTACAAGTCATTTTTTACCTTTTAAAAGTTTCTGATGGAACATTAATTAAAATATTTGTATTTATTCAAGGTTAGGATAATGGACACCAAAATAACTTTTATATTACTCATTAAACTAACTTTTTTTTATTTTTCAGTTCTGGTGAGCACCAGAGGGACTGTAATGCATTTCTAGTTCATATTTGTGTGTGTGTGTGTTGTGATTCTGGTGGATTTAACTAATAGTCGAGCAAGTTGGCTCATGAGAAGATTAGATTTAATTAGTTGCAATTTTTTTTTTGTTCATAAGCATCCTCCTACTAAAAGCAATCCTATTCGAACTACAATCGAAATTAAAAGTAAGTATCTCTTCTAATAAGAATTTGAATCTTCCACTAGAACTAACCTCAATTAGTGAATTAGTTACAAGTTGGCTATACGTTTCCCACCAGAAGCCCAAGTCATTGCAATCATAGAAGGCCTTAATCATTTTTCTTTTTTGATTCAAAAAAGCTAGCATGAGCTAGAAATTAGAAATACAACCAGATTAAACACTCTGGGAAATATCACGACTAATATCAAAACAAAGTAGAGGTTCTCATCCCCTAAGGATAGCCTCGATTTGATTCCATTCATTAAAGATTCTTGCTCTAATCTAGCCAAGTGATCTGCACAGTTCATTTTCACAAGGAGCATGGGAAAGCTTGACATCTTGTGCAAAAATGATTGCTCGCACTGCAGTAATGTCTGCGTAAAAGGATGGGAGCTATGTACCCTTTGATAGATGATATTCACTGCATCAATTGACTCTGAATATATTCTTATATATCCTTGCTTGGTTCTTCATCCTGCTGAGTTTCACATCATAACCATTGGCTTTGAACTCAGCTATGGCAATAGGTATCACCATTGTAAAAAAAAGGGAATATTGGATGGTTTTTTTTTTTTTTTTTTGCCTATATAGATGGTTATGAACCATCTAATATGACACTATCATATATTAATAAAATAAATATTGGATGGTTATTAGAACTGTCCAATATTTAATATTGGACGGTTTAAAGACTCGTCTAATATGTTGTCAGAATAAGTGGTGCTAGGTAAAGTATGTATTGAATAGTTATCTACCATAGCCATCCAATATATAAATTATATTAGACGGTTATCATGATAACCATCCAATATACTGTCTAATATTGGACGGTTGTGACCACAACCATCCAATATGGTCATTATATTGGACAGTTATCATGAATAACTATTCAATATATTGATTTTTTTAAATATGCTAGATGCATTCCTTGTAGCCCCCCATAACCATATGATGCAAATACAAACCACTCTAATCCAATTCAGTCTAATCCATAATTATACTGAACTAAATTCAATTATAGTAAACTAACAATTTTATTAAATAAAAAAAATTTGTTTCCTATACAATTGCTCAACATAATACTAAGTAAAACAAAGTTGTTTGCTATACTAAACTAAAATTATTCTAAAGTATAAAATCTAAATGAGAAAAACTAAAATAAAAATGTGTAGTTCACTTATTTTTGGCCCACAGTTGGAAAATGTACTCACACCATTTCTTAATAACTTCATTTGTGTGACGATCCTCAAATACTGCACATTATGAATCGAGATAATACTGCAATAATGTAATATGACAACAAAGTTACTTACTTCAGCAAATTTAAATTCATAATTACGTATAATTGAATTTAAATAACATACATACTATAGCAAAGATTATAGTCGTCCCATGAGTGATGATGTCTTTAAAAAATTCATGACGCAATATCCACAATCCTCGCTATATGTTATTTGTCGTGAACACTATATAGAAAAACCAATAAACATATTATTGAATTAATTAGAAAATTAAAATTGATTATTAAAATTAGTAGTGATAAGTATTTTTATATCTTCCAATTAGGGTAGGCCAGATTATATGACTTATACCTTGATGGTACAAGCAAGTTTTTTTCGTGTTTTCGGTGTGATAAAGTACTACAGCCCTAATAAGAAAGAAAATAAGTTGAAATTAAAATTTAAAATGAAAAAATATAATTAATCAAAATATAAACTTACAAATTAAATATTTTCATCATGTCTGGTCTATTATCTGGCTGCCCACTAACAAAATCTAGATAGTAAAATTTATAGTTTTAATAGCAATCAGTATAATGTTGATTAGTATTCAATGGCTCCTAAAATAATTTGAAAGCACATGTCATGAAATTTAAAATGACAAGATAAATTAATTAAGATACTACTGAACTCACCCTTGTACATAAGGTACCAGAATTAATGTCCTCACAGTAGGGGTCTTTGTCTCAAAGTACCTTGCTAATGTTTGAGCTTGGCTATGCCACACCTCGATGGTGATATTGTAATGAGCAGACACATCATGAGGACAAACAAAGACAAATTTTGATGCAAGATCACCAGGGATGGTAAAATTTCACATAGGTACCTAAATGAAAAAAATAAACAAATTATTATATTATATTAAATTTAAAATATAGTAAAAATTTATATAAACAATGTGTACCTCATAAAAATGAACCACATTTTGGCTAATCGAAATGCACTTGAGGACTTTGTTGACTATTTCAACCCTAATCATATCGTATTATTCTCTACCGTACATGCTCTGGTCAAAGTTAATAAGCACTGTAGAATTAGCAAACAACTTTGCATATGCCTCAAGTGCCCTATAGTAGGTTTTGGTAGTTAGTTCGGCTTAGGTGTCTTAACTTTAGATAATTAACTTTAGATAATTGGCCTGATTGTTTAGTGATGCTTTTCCCTTTGGACTGCACACCAATTATATAGTTAGAGACCAATATAGGTAATATATACATAAATAGGTAACTAGCATACCTGTTATCAATTTTGTGCTTCATCTTCTACATAGAAGTAAACCCTAGGCCCATGCAATAAAGTTGCCACTTGCTTCTCCAACAGTGAATGCTTCTAAGGTAGGAATGGGCAATGGGTAGTTGGCATCAATGGGTTCAAGAATCAACCCTTGCAAATAGTCTGCAGGCATCATCACATTGTGTATGGTATTTTCCTCAAAGATATTAAACACAAGGCCTCTTGCCACTTTGTGTCTACCAGGGCTATTTGCCATGATGAAAAATCAATTGTGCTCGCCCTAAATAAAAATAAGTATAAGTTAATAAAATAATTGTAAACTAAAGTTAAGGAATAAAAATAATATATATCTTAGGAATTTGACTAGATGGCTAGGCCACAGTGCAATTATCTATCTTGCTGGGGCTAATGTGCTTAAAGGGTGACTTCCTAGAATCATTAGCCTTAAGTAATACCTCAATCATGTTTTACTTGTTGTTTTTAGAGCATTAAACTCAATTGAAGAAGGCACATCTTTTGGAGTCTTCTTTTTGCCCATTATTTGTTTCCTCAAGATCCCCATGCAACACCCCTAACATGACTTGGATATCATGATTTCCTAATGCCTTTTCTAGGACATCTTCATCCTGGGGAAGCTCGCCTTTAGAAATTTCTTCTGAGATGACACTCTATTTATCATAATTTGGAAATCACAATTTATTAAAATAGCAGTTATTAACATGTAGCAAGTTCTCAAACATGTTCACTTATATAGTCACCATCTTTGTTAGTCTGGCCTAATATAAAGAGTCTAGCCCATGATATAGAGCTCTCTGGTGTGCCTTCTTGATTGATCTATGCATTAAAATACATTAGTAACATCACATATTGCATATCAATTAATAAAT